AACATCAGCAACATATGTTTTGCTAATTACTGTACCATGAGAATATTCCCTTATACATAAATATATAATTTAGAAAATAAACAAATACCTCTCAGAATACATTATCAAATTCATAAAATAAAGGTCAATGCTGTATAGTTTTCTTGAAAATGCATTATATTGTACATTTTTATTGTTAATACAGTACAAGCAAACATTCCTTTGTTTCAGTACAGATTATGAATACTTGATTGTATATTATAGTGATAAATATTGTAAATATGCATACTGTATAAAATGTGGTTGACTTATTGTACGGGTTAAGAATGTATGTGTGTGTGTGTCAGCTTATAGCCTCTGAGCCCTAAAAAAAAAAAATGTTTAGTTAAACAATGGTCATAGCTTCAATATTTTTTTTTTTCATTTATACCTACTTATGACTAATATTTCTAATGCAGAATCTGGTTAAGTTATAAGGAATGAATTGCTATGAGTTAAATATAATAAATGTGTTTATTTTTGTTTATTTTGTAATACACTTGATAAATTTACATACTTTCGTCTATTACTTTCCTGTGGTACATTGCAATGTTTGAAATTAATTCATTCATTCCCGGTGTGCTTGTATCTCCAAAACTTCTCTTTATTCTCTTTGCCACTGATCAGCCAGTTAGCCATTTGAGCAATCAGTCAAGTACTGGTTCCAGATTGTATCTGTATTTGTGCCAGTGTTGATTCTAGTCTGGTCTTAAATGAGCTCACACTTGGTGCTGTCACAACACACTCTGGTAGATTGTTCCAAGAGTTCACAACTCTCATTCAAAAAAGAAGAAAAATCTTCCTGACAATTTTCTGAAGTTGTGGCGTCTTCAACATGAGGTTGTGACCTTAAGTAGGGCAGGCATTCACTAGTATTAGGTATTAACACTCAACTGAGTAATGTTCTCTGAGGTGCCCACCTATAATATAAGTTAGGTAACTGCAATGTTCTACTTTTTGGAGCTTCTTCAGATATTTTCAATCAACTAATAATCTCTATTATATCTCAGGGACCAGATGAGACAGTACAGTACACCAAATGGGGAGCATCACACTTTTGAAGAGCAAAAGTATTTATATAAATGAGTTAAATACTGTACACTAGACTTATATACTCTATCACCCCCTTGTAACTTTCCACTAGCTATAAGGTAGCATGTTCAGAACATGCGATAAGGTGTGCCCATGCACGGGAAGTCACGTCACTTAGTGCTGAGTTAAGCATTTAGTAGCCGGCTCTCTAGCCACCTATTGCGTTGCAGTAATTAGATAACACTCATGAGAGGAAGATGTTATTCAGAGTCATCGTAGAGGTGACCCGTCAAGGGAGGATGTCTGATATATTTTCCGTTCTCCCTCGAGAAGTCTCTACTAAAGTCTTCACTCAATCCTAACCTCATTTAAACTCTCAATAGCTACATTGAGATAATTTACAGTAAAACCCTTTTTGAAAGTGCATATAAGAAATATTTTTATAATACTGTAAACAAAGAAGTTACATACAGCGGATCTACATACCCATAACAATAACCAGTGTCAGTGTTACAAAAAAACACATAAAAAACAATGATGCTATATACTGTTACAAAGAAGATATCGTTACAGAGGACTCAGTCTAGGACCAGTCTAAGATGACCGGTCTATAGTTAGTCGAGTGTACTCCAAGTAACCGTGACAATTCTCATAGCAGAAGTTATTCGTCACACAGTTGAGATAATCTGTTCTCCTGTTACTCATACTGTGATGTAACAGAAAAATTTAAACAGTTTCATAAGTGGCAGCGAAAAGGACGATCCATATCCGAGATCAATGTCAAATTTTTTTTTATAAAAACTGAAAAATTTTATTTTGTCCGTGTCATTTAGTGCCGAGTTAAGCATTAAATAGCCGGCTCTCTGGCCACTTATTGCAGGCAGTGGTTAGATATCACTCATTTGAGGAAGACGTTATTGAGAGCCATCGTGGATGGTTCTGTCTTCCCTCAAGGGAGGACGTCGGATATATTTCCGTTCTCCCTTGACGGGTTCCTAGACATTCTCACTCAACTATCTCATCAGCGACAGGACGTACTTAGCAGAGCTATATAAGACAGCCTCCATCCTCATTTACCACTCACAGCTACAGTGATTAAGTTACGGTGATAATCCTTCTTGAAAGTGTACATAGAAACCTTTTATAATAAATACAAACAAAGGACCATATTGGATTTCACTACAGAAGATCCAATAAACTTTTATCTATATTTTAGTATTGCATCTCTAAAATATAAGGTAACGTGCTTCACAAGTGATTGTTACTAGTGGTGACAACCCAGGAAGATTGTTACATATATGACAGTTTCACAAGTAACTTTTATATTCACGGTAACAGTCACCTCTACAGATACACAGTTGGTAAAGGTAAAAATATTGTTCTCCCCATTACTGTGGCATAATGTTACTAGGAGAAGCAATTTGTTACAACCATCTAGGTATGTGAATGCCCTTCTTATAAAACCTACTGTACTAACTTAGTTACTTGACTTACCTTCTTCTCACAATGTTCCACAAACTTAAGTTCATTCTCAACATGCACACCCAGTTACTTTTAATACTTTGTCTCAGTTAATGATGTTTCTTCATCCCGTTGGGACATGTGAAACCCCTCCTTACAGTTGGTATGACCTAGGTGATGCTGAATCTTAACAACACACTTCAAAATTATCCTTAACAAAACAATTTGATCTGTAAGAAAAGAATATGGCAGGAGAGTAATTCTAATATACAGTAGATACAGTATAAACTTTTAATCTATTAATATCCTCTACAGTACTGTACAATACAGTATGTCAATTTCATGAGCAATGCATTAAATTACCAAGAAGAGAAACAATTCATATCCTTCTTGTTTGAAAAAATAGAAATAGCATGTGAGTTAAAGTTCATTTACTTTACATCTTGGAAGATCTCGAAAATCTTGTCAATTCTCACCCAGACAAGAGGGTGGCTTCATATGTCTCATCCTCATCACTGTTTTACGGCCATTTTCCATACTTGTGTGGGTTCGCCATGATTACCTGATGGTAGCTATCCAAGCTGCACAGTCTCTTGTAGCCTCTCTCAACAGGTCTTAGTAAAGGTGTAGAAGAGGGTGACCATTAGAAGGAATTGTCCGAATTGGTTGAAATTTTTTTTACACACTATTATCAAGATATTAAACACAAAAATGGAAACGACAAAGCAAAGAACCTAATAGAACCTGACCTAACATACCCAACCTTGGGTTTGTTAGGTCAGGTACTACTGTATTAGGTTCTATGCATTATCGTGTTAATTTATGTGTTAAACAACATACTTTAATAGTGAGGTTGATAGACATCAGCAATGGCGAGGAGGAATACGATGAAGCGTTCACCATCATTAAGGAAACGTCTCTTGAAAAGGGGATTTAGCGAGGTAAACAACAAATATGGCGCCGGGAGGAGAATTGTGAAGCGGGATAGACTAAATAAAAAGATTGTCAGGTTCTATTAGGTTCTATGCATTGTCGCTTCCATTTCTGTGTTTAATATCATGTTATTGGCATTATATGAAAAAATAAATACAAAATATTGCATAGAACCTTATAAAACCTAACCTAACATACCCAACCTATGGGTATGTTAGGTCAGGTTCTATTAGGTTTTATGCATTGTCGTTTCAATTTTTGTGTTTAATATCTTGATATTAGTGTATAGAAAAAATTTCAACCAATTCGGACAGATCCTTCTGGGTGGTCACCTTCTTCTACACCTTTATTCAGGTCTTACCTCTTTGGTCAATTCTTACAATATTTCCTTGTGTCATTCTTGGCCTCTTTCTTTATAAGCAAATAGGATATATAAAGGCAGTGTAGTGAGTGTTTGATAGAAGGGCACAATCTAAATGGTGGGAGAAGAGAAGGAATAAATATAACAAAAAGAATACCTTGAAAAGTGGCACCTACCAATATTTGTAAGTTTAGATTAGGTTACGTAAAATATTTTTTTAGATGAAATATTCGAACTCAGGGTTAGAAAAAAGTGCCAAAATTGATTAATGATGTTTTCAATCACTCGATTTAAATCGTGTCAGTCCTATCTTACATCACCGGAACAACAATAAACAAAAGTTAAATATACTATGGACAACTTTCTTAAAGAAATTCTCTGTCTTTGCAACATGCTTGTAAACTATTATCAAAAGTAATTTATCTTATATACTGTAGTTACTGCATTGTATAGATAATAGAATATTAGATTTTGTTTTATTTTCTCAGGCTGGCATTATAACATTCTGGTATTGTTATTAGAGACCATCAAAATCCTTTTGCTTATCTCTCTGAGGAGGAGTTCATCAAGAGGTATAGGCTGTCCAAGGAATGCATCCATGAACTTCTTGAACGATTTGAACCACATATGCCAAGAGTTCAAGAAGGACGAGGCAAGAAATTCTGGTTACTATATTTCCAATACATTTTTTGGCTTTAAGTAACACATTTTATTTCCTCCAAACATTATCACAGTACAACTTGAAACAGTATTTCAATTCAAACAAAACTAAAAAGGGATTACACTGGCATGACTAATGAAAAATATATCACAGTTCAGTATATGTAAAATTATATCATTCAAACAGTTTAGTATTTTGCTTGAAATAATAATGTACACCACATTTTTAAAGGCTTCAAAGTACTATACTGTACTGAAATAGTTTGCAAGTGTCAGAGAAATCCATAAACAATTTTAGTTCCTCTAAATAAGAACAAGCAGTAAAACCAAATTTACCACAGTACCTGTACAGTCCTGTATATAAATTAATAGTACTGTAATCATACCTAGTTTGAAACTGTAAATACAGTTATAGCAATTATCATTCTTGAAAGATTTTACATGTACTGTACTCTACCTATATTGAAATTGTCACTGAAGTACAAAAGAAATGTGAAATAAAAGAATTATTAAAATTCCCAAATAAGTATGAGTATATAATACACAGTATCACAGTATATTGTATATGAAATTCTAGCAAAAAATATGCTGAATCTATTTTGGTTTCACAAGAAGTAAAAGAACAAAAAATCGTAACAAATATTTGATCATACAAAATATGATTTCACATCTCCATTAAGTGCAAAAAAAAACCCCCAGTAAACAGAGATAAAAAAAGAACAATTTAAATTTCTCCCATAAATATGAGTGTACAATACACAGTATCACAGTACTGTTTATTGTATTTGACATTATATCACAAATTAAGGTGAAAGAATCTATTTGTTTTCACAAAAGAATAAAAAAAAACATAAATGTTGGAACATAAAAATATTTCATATTCTCCATTAAGTGGCTAAGAAAAAATAGTAAACAGAGAGAGATTGAAAAAATCACGGTTTATACATTATCAGTTATGACTGATGGCAAAGTTTCCATAATTTAACTTGATTGCCCACAGCCAGAGGTGGAATTATGGCTGCACTCTTTGACAACAGCTCTAATGCTTGCTCTAAATACATACGCACAGATTGAGCCGATAATGTATTGTACATGCTGGTGAAGGCCTTTAAAGCCTCCAATATAGCACCATTCAGTTCTTGTGTATTGCCCTTAATAATAGCTTTTACTTTACTTTTATCCTCTTCGCCACTGATCGGCTTGTTAGCCGCTTGGGCGATCGGTCACGACTCTTTTCCTTTATATTCTTCACCAAAAGGTCGGCTCGCTAGCCGCCCGGGCGATCGGTCACGTCTCTGTCACGCACTGTTGGCAAATACTGGGCATGCACCGGCTCCTGAATGTACCTGAACCCGCTCCAGTGTTGGTCAAGTCTTCTCTTGAAAGAGCTCACACTCGGTGCCGTCACAACACTCTCTGGTAGATTGTTCCAAGAGTTTACAACCCTCACTCCGAAAAAGTTTGCCCTCACGGTTTTCCGGACTTGCGGCTTCTTCAATCTTGAGCTGTGACCCCTTGTGGGGCGAGCGTCCGCCAGCTCCAAGTAAGGACACTCAACTGAGTAGTGCCCCCTGAGATGCTTATAAACCTCAACTAGGTCCCCCCTTGCCCGTCTGTAGTATAAGCTAGGCAAGTTCAGGCGCTCCAATCTCGCAGGGTAGCTGAGATGCCGAAGTGCAGGCACCAGCTTGGTGGCCCTCCTTTGAACATTTTCAACCAACTGACAGTCCCTAGCATATCTCGGGGACCAGATGGGGTGACAGTACTCCAGATGGGGAAGCACTTCACTCCTGAAGATCGTCACGAGGGACGGACCGTCTAGATATCTGAACGACCTTCTTATAAGACCCAATAATTTATTTGCCTGATTTACCTTCTTCTCACAATGGCCCGAGAACTTCAGCTCATTGTCAACATACACACCTAGGTCCTTCTCACACACAGTCTCAACTAGTACATTTTCTTGATCCCGTTGGGACATATGGTACGCCTCCTTACCGTTGGTACGCCCCAGGTGCATCCTCTTACACTTCGTGACATTGAATCTCAGCAGCCATTCCATCGACCATTCCTGGAGCCCACAGAGGTCCTTCTGCAGCTCTTCACAGTCCGCTTGGTTCTTAATTTCCCGAAATAACTTGGCGTCATCGGCAAACATTTGTATGGAGGAGTGTACAACGTCAGGCATATCATTTATGAAACAAACAAACAACAGCGGGCCCAATACACTACCCTGCGGTACCCCACTTGTTACAGGTACAGATGACGATTTCGTGCCATTAATCACCACACATTGCTTGCGGTCATGTAGAAAGTCTTCTATCCACGCTAGGACATTTCCCCGAATTCCGTACCCTTCCAGTTTGATTTTCAGCCTTTCGTGGGGTACACTGTCGAAAGCCTTGGCAAAATCTAGGTAAATATTGTCGATATTACCACCCCGTTCTAGAATATGGGTCCAAATATCCAATACCTCTTGCTCACCTGCTTCCTTCTCTTCCCCCTGTGACTGGATGTTGAAGCTGCTGTTGGTGGCACGGGTGATCCTGATGTTGGATCAGTTGATCTAAGTGTTCCTGCTGGTGGAGATGTCTGTCTTCTCCCTTGAAGACGAACTTTTATCTCCACAACTCATGTTTCTGATTCAATTTTGGCGCGCAGTTCGACCTGGTTTGTTTATATTTACCTTGGATAAGGCGTACCAACCCTCTCGAGTTGTGGCGTTCGGGTTACTGAATAGTGACCCGATGTTCGGGACTGCTCTTCGGGCTTGTTGCCCCGAGTGTTTAAAAAAATATCCGAGTAAACAGACAGCCGACACACTAGCGCCATCTCTAGGACAAGCATTAAATTAATACGGATTGAATTACTCCTGTGAGATTATGAACTATTCTACTTGTTCCTTATGACATTCCTTCGTTAGAAGTAAACAAACAGCGGAGGTGAACACGACACTGCACTGCCCCACGAAGACTAACATGGAGAAGACTTCCTCTTTAGTATTGCAAAAGAACATAAAGGATAATTGTGATGACTTGCAAGATTTCCTGAAGGATTTAAACAAATGGGAGAAAGAAATTAGAGCGGAAGATGAGAAGTTGTGTGACAGTTCTAAGGAAGGAAATACAAACACCGAGGTAAAAATTACACACGATCATGACTTGTTTCCTCCTCTGCTATTCGTTTTTCACCCATTAACCTCTGTTGACATGAGAAATTGTTTTCCTCGAGTAGGTTGGATGCTTATATGAGCAATAGGGGTTGGGTGTAAACGGGACTGCCCAGTATGGGCCAATAGGCCCGCTGCAGTTTCCTCCATTCTTATGTTCTTATTTGGTGTGTTTTAGTCAAATATGGCCCTCCCCCTCCGCCACATTAAACATAAACTATTTAGTTTGATGTCTGGTGCAATTAAAAGCAACTTTCTTGAAGTGTCATGGTTTAATCATACTTGTATTTTGTGGTCATGAGAGTATAAGTAAATATGACAAATTTTGTAACGAGAGGTACCGGTATGGCCAGCATAAGGACAGAACCAGACAATGTTATGTAGTCGTGGCCAGAATTAGGCTAGGATACAGACACATCTGGCAAGTTAGTAACGCTGTACCCATACCGGAGCACTCAGCATGTAAACTTTGTGATAAACCTTTAAAGCATACACTTCAACACTATATTATTGAATGTGACACTGTCAAAGACTTCAGGCCACTTTGTAATCACTATATTGAATCAGGGGTGCTTGGGGACATTCTTGCTTTTTATCCCAAATTTGCTTGCCCACACTGATTAGTCTTCAATTAGAATATGACGTCCAATGTATATGAACCACTGTCTTGCATGGCAGCGAACAGTGACATCACCCACATGACTCTAACCTATATATACTTCTAATGAATATGATGTATTTCTTTGTGTACGAACCTCTGTTCTGCATGGCAGTGGACAGTGACATTACCCACATGAATCTGATCTATATATACAGTATATATATACAGGGTGTCCCATACATTTCCATACATAGGAAAAATAAATTTTATATGAAAATCCATTTTTATTTATATAATATGCTCTACATGACTACCATTCTGTTGAAAACACTCTTCAGTGCGTGTCCTCCACTGCTGAAGAACACGTTCAAGCACAGCTGGAGTTATGCTTGTAATGGCGTTGGTGATACGTTGTATGGAAACCTATGGGACACCCTATATATATATATATATATATATATATATATATATATATATATATATATATATATATATATATATATATATATATATATATATATATATATATATATATATATATATATATATACATAGATATAGTGTCAGGCCTTCCATAACGTATCACCAACGCCATTACAAGCATAACTCCAGCTGTGCTTGAACGTGTTCTTCAGCAGTGGAGGACACGCATTGAAGAGTGTTTTCAACAGAATGGTAGTCATGTAGAGCATATTATATAAATAAAAATGGATTTTCATATAAAATTTATTTTTCCTATGTATGGAAATTTATGGGACACCCTGTATATATATATATATATATATATATATATATATATATATATATATATATATATATATATATATATATATATATATATATATATATATATATATATACTGTTAATGAATATGATGTATTTCTTTGTATATAAACCTCTGTCCTGCATAGCAGTGAGAAGTGATACCACCCTCAGTGTCAAGACCTGACTGAATTTCTCAGAATAGGCAAACTGTACTCCAAGCTTTGTCAATAAATTTGTTAAACTAAAAAAACAGACCGAGTGGGTCAGATGTAAACAAACAGAGCAAGAGGACAAAACGTGCCAACAATGGCAGATACTATCTAACGTAACCGAATGTTTGAAGGTAAATATATTAAAAACTAAACATATTTAGGGTAGTCAGAAACACTAGAAGAGGATTGGGTGAAAGACGAATATTTACCAATAGTTCTGCATCTCAGTATCAAAACCAATTTTGTAATGCAAATCAGGATCGAAAGATAACACTTACGGGACATTTGCTCTCAATTATAATAGTATTGTGTACAACAAACCACCCATAATAGTAATATTATCAATTGTTCAAGAAAACACAATGTAGTATTTTAAAAGTATTTACTAAGTGGCAGCCTGTCGATTAATGTTTTTTTGTTTTTGTTTTTTAAATGAGCGACTGTTAATGTTATGGTGTAACACACTCCACCCAATAACCTAACTTACAGAAGTTACAGTAGTCCCTCACCAATAGTGGGTGTCAGGTTCCTGAAAACCCCATGGTTGGCAAATCCGCAGCTGCAGATAACACTTCACAGCCCAAATGATTCCCCAGTAAGTTTCACGTAGTATAGGTCTGTACATTTATTTAAAGTTTTTGAACCAGCTCTTACTCAACTGAACTTTCAACAAGGTGGCTTTACTTTCACCTGGCCTTGACACGAATTAGCTCCACATGTTCAGTGCTTTTTCCATCTTTTTAAGATTATGGTTTCATGGCAAACAGTATACAGGAAGTCCCCTACTTACGACGGGGTTAGGGACCCAAATCCAGGTCGTAAGTCGAATTGGTTGTAAGTCGAAAATGCAAATAATACATAGAAATTCTAAAATGGGTGTGTCTTTTTTCTTCTCAGCACCACAACACTCTCACTTCTAAGCTTGCCAGCCATTTTAAAGGGAATTACAAACGAAAATTTTGTCAGTACACAGCTCAATCACTAACGTCGGGACTCGAAAATACGTAATTTGAAAAAATTTTGGTACGACTGGGGCAGTCATATGTCCGGGTGGTCGTAAGTTGAGTAGGTCGTAAGTCGAGGAATACCTGCTATATGATGCTTTTTGCACTTTTTAATGTTCCACCAACAACATATGCCCTTATTATAGCCTAACTCTTCTTGGTGGTATGAATCTAGAATTCATTTAGCCCCATAGCACGTCTCACTGATGCTATACTCTTCTAATGTCATTATGGCCCTTGTCCTTCTCACCTTCTCACCTTTATCACTAACACTCAGTGAATGCTTCAAGGCCATTGTTAAGGGAAAAATCATTATTACAGTAGAAAATAAGTGAGAGCAGTACAATGTGTCAGCATGCTGCAAGATCACAACATTGAGAGAGTGAGGAGGACAGTGATGGGCTGCGAGAGATGGGACTCTGCACCGAGGAATACATTAGATCGTGGAGGGATAAAGACGCCGTGCTAATCTATGGATACTTAAAACTTAATGCTATGGTTGGTAAAATGGTATAGAGTGAAAACTGTGGATACGTGGAATCCACGGTTGGCAAGGGTTTATAGCATATGTATTGTGTGTGTCTTTTTGCAAAAATCAGACTGGTCTCTTTAGGAACAATCCTGCAAATAATCAAAATTACTCTGGGTTTTATATCTATTTGGGGACTTCATACACTTATAATGTATGAAGTACAGTAGTGCAAAAAAATTTAAAATTGGTTTACATCTGTTTTGAGTATGATTTAGGCCTTAGACACATCATACACCAGGCAGTGGTAAGTGTGACACACACTACTCGACCCAGCAGTATAAGTGTTTCGCTGAGGGGTGAGCGGCCACAAACTATAAATGAATAGCATCATTGCTCCCCCAAACTAACCTAAACTCAATTTGTTTAATTTTTTACGATAGTAAATGATGACATAATTGAGTTAAAGTAAATTATTCCATATAAGAACAAATATCCACTAAGTTATAACAGTAAAGGCAAAAATTTATCCTATTTGGCAGGAACATCAGTTGCATATTAAGCCTTAATTAAATTGATTATTGTCCATAAAACCATCACATACACACAAACTTTTATATATATATATATATATATATATATATATATATATATATATATATATATATATATATATATATATATATATATATATATATATATATATGTATATATAGTACTATATATATATAGATATATGAGATTTAAGTGAGACTCACTGCTAGGCACTGACTTACGTTCAGTCAACACAACTCACACTGTGGTTATCAGCTGAAGATATATATAATCACACTAAATATATATATATTTGTGAACTTCAGGTTTTCTCTTAGTCCTATGTGTTACTCTAGCTGTATATATATATATATATATATATATATATATATATATATATATATATATATATATATATATATATATATATATATATATATATATATATATATATATATATATATATATATATATATATATCATGTAGATCCACAATGAAAACGTGGATAAGATAAATCTTGATAAAATCACACAGGAAAAGGGAAACAACGGAGCACCTTAGCTTTCGTCTTTATTCAAGACGTCTTCAGAGGCAACTGGATTACATGGACAGAGAGAGGCTTAAATATACAGGGTGACCTTATTAAACATGAGGTCAGGTCATAATGATGTCATCCACTAATCCCCACACCAACAACCACGTAGAGGAGCTTAAGAGAAGGGAAGCGACGTGACTACTCAGGTCAGGTAAAAAATAAGGAACCCACATTACGTCCTATCGTGAGTTCTGTGGGTTCTGTTACTTACAAATTATCCAAGTGGCTGGTAAAGATGCTATCCCCTCTTACAGGCCAAATATCTAATTCACATATACCGGTACACAATAGCAGTGATTTAATTGATAAACTCAAGAAACACAATGAACCATGTGAATTAATAAGTTTTGATGTAAATTCACTTTTCACTAGAGTACCTGTGAAAGACCTATTTTCATTTCTTAAAGATAAATTACAACTGTTAGATTTAACTATTTGATGAGCATGGGTAATTGTCTTTCTGCTCCTCTACTGTATTTATATGGAGTTTTTTGAGGCTAGATTACTACCCAATATAATCCCTCCATGGTATAGATATGTAGATGATGTTCTTTTTCTTTGGCCTAGAAACAGTGCATTGGAATTTTTAAGCTTAATGATATTGTGATTCAAAATTGAAAGAGAAATAAATGGATCCCTTCCATTCCTTGATATGCTTTCATGAGAAAGCCAAAACTACAAAAAGGTAGACAGAAAGCCCACACAGGGACAGTTTCATACACTTTTTTATCAAGTCTACCAAAATGTCAGTTTTTTCTGCTATGTTCTTAAGATGTCTGCGTATTTGTGACTCTGAATTTATTGATGATGAATTGAAACACATTCGTTCCATTGCACAAAAACTTGGGTACCCTTCTGTGTTTCTTGATCGTTGTTTTAAAAGGGCTAAAAAATCCTTTCATTCCTCTCAAACCAGGCAAATTCCTACACTTAAGAATATGTTGACTCTGTTCTATCGCAATGAATTTGTCCCGTTAGTTCGGTCCCTCAAGCTACTAAATAATAATGTTGTTTTCAAGTATGACTCAACCATTACCAATATGTTAATAAGAAATAGCCCAAGTTTGAATGTAATTGGAAGTGTTTATTGTATTACATGTAGCAAATGTAATTGTAATTATGTAGGACAGACAGGAAAAACACTGCAGCTCAGAATCAAACAACATAAGTACAATATCAGAACAGCATCTGAAAGCAGTGCCCTGTTCGTTCATGTTAGGAATAATAATCATCCCATTGCTTGGGAAAAAAGTTTGGAAGTGTTCAAATCATCTTGTGTCACAGAAAGACTTCTGGTTGAAGCTAGTTTGATTAAGGAATCAAAATCAATAAACCTTAGTGATGGTCAGTTCAAAACTGATAATATGTTACATAAATTTATTTGTCAGTGACCCAAGGTTAAAAATGTAGGATAGTTATTTAGTGGGTCCCTTATTTGTGACTTGACCTGGCTAGTCACGTCGTTGGTGTTGGTGTGGGGATTAGTGGATGACATCATTATGACCTGACCTCATGTTTAATAAGGTCACCCTGTATATTTAAGTCTCTCTCTGTCCATATAATCCAGTTGCCTCTGAAGATGTCTTGAATAAAGACGAAAGCTAAGGTGCTCCATTGTTTCCTTTTTCCCGTGTGATTTTATCAAGATATATATATATATATATATATATATATATATATATATATATATATATATATATTACTATATACAGTACAGTATATAGTATGTATGTACAGTATAATTTTTTACAATTTCTGTATTTATAGATTGGTCTTCCTATACGATGTAAAAAGAAATTAGAAACGTCTTCAGGTAAGGGGACCCCAAGAAACTCATCTGGTGACAGCAAGCGAAGAAAAAATGAAGGAGAAAATGTGAAGAAGAAAGACAGAATACCAGCACATGACTACGCTGCTTGGGAAAAATTTGATGTGGTATGTTTAAAAATATTCACCTTATGTATTATTATACTATATCACCTCCCATGTCTGAGAAATCTGGCTCCCAGATTATCCAGAAATGCTCCATGATTAATCTGTTTGCCTTATTGTTATGCCATATGCTAATTTATATTTCCTCTTTTCATAGACTTTTTATGATTACCATACAGCATTTTAATGGGAATGGCCAGACAATTGTATACATCATGTTATTGTAGTCATTGATAATTTCTTGCTTCTTCATAAACCTAATGTAAATTAATTGCATATTTTCAGGGAAATTTATTTATTTTGTTTTTTAAAGTCAGCATTGCTCAGCTTAGATGATTAGCTACCTTTTTTTGTGGTAAGGATGAAAATATACAGAGGACAGGTTACTATCTGCCATGTATGGATCACAGGATTTGCAGATAGTTGATATTGGCAAATTTTGTATATGACACTGAAGCATATTAAACAAGGTTATAAAACTAGTAACTTGTTTCAACCCATGTTCAGTGTATGAATTTTATAGTACTAAATTTACATGCACGAAGATACAATGATATAAGCTACCAAACACCATAGTAAATATAAATCGTAGTTTCATTTTTTTGAATGTTCATGGTAGAAAAATAACCCTGTGCAAGTGTAAAAAGTATGCTGCCACAAATAAAAATCAAAGTAAATCTATTGTACTGTACAGTATTACCCCGCCTAACGCGGTTTCACTTAACGCGTTTTATCATATACGCGGTGCCTCGCCAGAGCTGAACTTTCACTTAACACGGATTTTTTCCACATATACGCGGTGAGTGTCCGGCTCGAGACGCTATTTTTAGATTTGCCCCACCCGCCACCCTGCCTGACTGCCTGTTTTAGCTCATAAAATTCATACAAATTACCGGCCAGAATATAATTTACATTGCTGGAATTCTTATAATTTGGTGATCATTTTGAATATAAACATCATATATTTTGCATTAGACATACAATTTTTAGATAAAATTTTTTCTCTAGGTAACTATGTTATCTTTTGTGCAAAATATATGACATTTATATTCAAAATATTCCTGGTCTTACAAGGAATCCAGCAATGTCAATTATATTATCCTAACTTTAGTTTGAGGTATTATTTATTAAAATTTAGTGGTTATCCCACACATCTCCTTGGGACGGTTGGTGGGGGGTGGGGGGGAGGGAGGGACCGACCGACCATCTGTTACCCCGTGAAGAATTATTATTATTTTTTATTAACTGAAGATATTTGTTTTAGCTCATAAAATTCATACAAATTACCCGGTCTGAATATAATTTACATTGCTGGAATTCTTATAATTTGATGATCATTTTGAATATAAACATCATATTTTTGCATTAGACATACAAATTTTAGATAAAAAATTTTCTCAAATTAACTATGTTATCTTTTGTGCAAAATATATGACATTTATATTCAAAATATTCCTGGTCTTACAAGGAATCCAGCAATGTCAATTATATTATCCTAACTTTAATCTGAGGTATTATTTAATACTAAATGTTAAAAACCCTGGAAGGGAGGATTGGTGGGGGGTGGGGGGGAGGGTTGGGACTGACCGCGCGGTTGGAAGAGGGGGGGAGGCAAGGTGGGGTACTTTGATTGACAGATAGTGTCGTGAAGATTATTTTTTTTTTTATTAACTGAAGATATTTGTTTTAGCTCATAAAATTCATACAAATTACCCGGTCAGAATATAATTTACATTGCTGGAATTCTTATAATTTGGTGATCATTTTGAATATAAACATCATATATTTTGCATTAAACATACAAATTTTAGATAAAAATTTTTCTCTAGGTAACTATGTTATCTTTTGTGCAAAATATATGACATTTATATTCAAAATATTCCTGGTCTTACAAGGAATCCAGCAATGTCAATTGTATTATCCTAACTTTAGTTTGAGGTATTATTTATTAAAATTTAGTGGTTTTCCCCCAAAAATTTCTCTGAGAGGGAAGAGCCGGCAGTGTAGTGTGAGAGGGGGAGGAGTTGAGTCCATTATTTGAATGGACATTAACTTGGCGACTGTATTTCTCTATTTCTCTTAAGTATTAATTGTGTGCATGTACCATCATAAAATTAAGATGTTATTTTTACTACAACATAGGTATGTGCCTTCAAAAAGTGGAGTTTGGGGGTCGGGCCAGTTTCTATTGGAATTAATCCCATATGTTCTGTTGTTCACTTAACGCGGATTTCACTTAACGCGGGACCCTCTGGGTTCAATTGACCGCGTTAAGTGGGGTACAACTGTACTACATTAGTACAATAAATTACACTTTAAAAATAAACTAAAATTTAAAACATCACATTACCTCTATGATATGGTACTGTACCTCTTTATGGATTGGCCTTTGCTCTGCTGGCATTATATTAGTACTGTATAAGAATGTCCATGCCTCACATATACAGTACATGACAGTCTGCCACAAAGGGCACAGTTACAGATTTTTCAGTAGCAAATTTTTAATAATTATTGTCGTTCTGAATATCAGATACCGTGTGCTGTACAAGTACATTACAACATTTGGTAACTGCATATTCTGTAGTAAGTTGTTAGATGGTCAAGAACCCTCGTTATACAGTACTCAACTGGAGCCTATTTTTCTAAAAGAAAAAAGAATCTTAGAAATTAACAAAAACAATAAAAATTATCAAAGAAAATGTCATACCTCAAAAGTATATTAAAATATTAAAATGATTTTTGTAAACATATATAAAAAGGAAGGTGAGAGGAATGGCTTAATTGACATGATGATCTATTGATGTTCAAAGAGTGTTCACAAAATCATAGTGGGCCTTTTAACACCATCCCCTTTTAATCCTTTTTAGGAATCAACTTTCAGGCAGTGAGGAAGCCCTTATACAGTATTGCAGCAAATTAGTCGACCTTCGGACAAGACGAGGCCTAAATTTCAGTTTAAATTTCATGGTTTTAACTCATATTTGTGGTATAAGATGACTTCCCAAACTACCAAACTACCTGTGGTAAAGTTTAAGTCAATAACCACCAATACAGTGATATGTTTAATGTATTACCGGTAATTCATTTGAATTATGATATCAGAGAGGCAAATACGTAATAAGGTAAATACCATGTGTAGACTGTCTTCGGTAGTGGTAAGTTACGGTCGATGACTGTTTTGTTTACATACCGACGTGTCGTGGTGACACAGTCAACTTTGACTCAGCTGGTGGGCGTGGCTGTGAGTGTGTTCGTGTTTGGCTTCATCTACCGGTAGTTGAGTGAAGCACCATCACACAAAGTGATTCATGGTTAGTTCAGTGTTTTGCTGGCTTCTCTCTTAACCAGACAAACAAGTTGTAATTGTGGAGCCATCGGTATATGGATTTAAGTGAGAAATAAAAATTGTAAACACTACAACTCAAGATTGATGATCCCAGCCACCTTCGCTGACTCACATCATTAAGGTAATTTGTACTGAATTTTGAGGATCACATTTTGTATTTTGAATTTTGTATCTGGCCTATTAGATGACCCCTGGTTTTGGGGTAGTTTTTTGGCGATTCAAGTGTCGTCTTATCTGCCGAAATATACAGAAGTTGTACTCAACATGATAAGATGATCAATGATTATATACAGTGTTATAGATAGTAGAACTTTTTCATGAGATCCCTGTAGCTATTTTTTTTTTTTACTAATTTTAGTTAGGTAGTTAGGAGTAATTAAGTAATAACCTAATGTAACCATTAGGATAAGGTACCTAATGCTAATGGGTTTCATTCTATTAATGGGCTCCAATGCTAATGGTTTAGATGGAGTCTATTAGGACTTGTTTACTTGACCTGTATTAAATAGATAGATACAATACAGTATTTAGAAAAAACAGGAAGTATGGGTTTAATTGTGTAAGTGTTTTCAGGACAAAGCTCTGGCTTCATCATCATCTGAAGAGGAACAAGAAATGGAAACCCCATTGAAGTCAAAGGATAGTGATATCAAAGGTCCTAAAAGTAGCAAGAAGGAGCGAGCTCTTGCAATGAAAGAAGCAGTGAGTTGCCATCTTAATTATATATACTGTATATATTTTTTTTTTTTTTATTACATGTTCAATAATTCTCTGTTTGTTTTTCAAAATTGTTCAGACTGTTGACCGACTGAAGCCCAACACTTTACCAATGACTGAGGGTGTCTTGCCTTTTTCAGAACGTTTAATTACATCAACTTTCACTTTCATTGTAATTGTTTTCCTTTTCTTGGATGCACTACTATCAATTGCATCGGGTTTGTGTTTGGGAACCACGATGAGGGCAGAAAAAGAGAAATAATAAGCAAAAAACAACAGTTTGCACTTTATCACACATGTTAATGTGGCGAGAGTAAAGTGTACCGACGCTCTCTCAAGGCACATGGCTGGGCAATGCATCACTCCCCATGCGCCACTCTGCCTCACCTCTACGCCACGCAAACTAGTTCTTGTACGTAAATACTACGAACCAGTTGTACCTATGTCAGATTCTTAAAATAATTGACCTTATGGGACCTCGTTGTATCGGCGAAAGTTCATAAGTCGGACATTTGTAAGTCAGGGACCCCCTGTATGTTATAAATTATTAAACGACTGAGATAAAGTGCCTCAGCTCTGAATGACTAAATTAATACAGATGTGTTTATAGGTTTATTAAATTTGAAATAATTATTTATCATCATCAGTCATTGAATGTTTTGTTTCCTATAACAATTTAAATTGACCCAGATATCAGATGAGTCAGTCATTTTGGCTGGTAGTTGGTTCAAATTGGAAACTCTGACATGTTTACAGTACAGGGGGTCCCTGGGTTATGAACGGGTTCCGTTCCTGAGGACGTTCGTAAGTTGGATTTGTACGTAAGTCGGAACGCATACTATATGCAAACCGTACTTACAAAACAATATTTAAAATCCCACTAATATCATAGCCTAAGTCCTTATATACATATAAAATAGAAATAGAATGACAAAATACAGTAAATGAAAGTAAAAAATAAGTCATCGGGTAAATAAAATACCTGTACTCTAAATTTCAAGTTTAACCCCGTTCGTATTGGCGGTCGTTTGTAAGATTTTTATTTATTTTTTAATTAGTTGTAATGTTGTTGAGGGCTACCCTGGTATACATGGATCTATCTTTAACTTTATATTTTATTTGTTAGTAATATTTTAGCCCATTATTAAGAGTGCCTGGATATAGCTTATATGTGTGCCCTTTGAAGATGTGTGTTATAATATATAAAAAGTATTAAAGCTCTCAACCTAAAGATACAGTACTGTAGATGATAAATATTGTACGTTCTGTACTGTAATTGAATATTTTTCAGGGCAACAAACTATATGGCAGTGGGAAGCTTGATGATGCTATTGCCAAATATACCCAAGGGATGGCTCTTGATCCCACTAATGCTGTTCTCCCAGCAAATAGAGCAATGGCATACATCAAATTGAACAAGTAAGCTATTCCCTTTACACTTCTTTCATATGCATGCATATACTATTCTCATGTTGTATATACTGGACTGTACTATGATATATACAATATACCCCCCTGTATATACATACAGTATTACCTTTTATAATTAATATTTTCTTGTGTTGTTTTAGATATACTGCTGCAGAAGCAGATTGTAATAGAAGCTTGAAACTGGAAGCTGGATACATAAAGGCATATTTACGACGAGCAACATGTCGAATCAAGCTTGGAAAGTCAGAGTTAGCAATCAAAGATTACCAGAAGGTGAGTTCTTAGTTATTTATATCCTCTTTCCATCTTCCTGTGAAAGAAAATTTTGAATTACAGTGAATTAACATAACTAACCATAATCTCTTTAGCATATACAGTATTCTGATATTTACCAGCAGGATTATGCTTGAGATGTTCTTGTGTGTAGTAGAATGGATTCATATTTTACCAGTTGATAATACTGTATGTAGTTTTGCTGTTTAAATGGAAATACAATACTGAATCCTGTGGTAATTTAAATATATTTTAGATAATTTTTAAGTACTACAGTGAACCCTCGGAAGATTCAGACGCAGCAAATCCGTATTTTGGAAGATTCGGACAAAATTTGTGGGTTCCTGGGGCAAGAAGCCTTCTTAAGAAGCATTCTCAAAACAGAGCAAAGATCATCTTAGGCCCGTGTAACTAAGATGTCAATGCGCAGGACACAGGTGCCCGAGGAGGTGGGAAACAAACAGATTTGTCAATTGATGTTTGTGGGATTACTGTATTTTTTCCTTCACTCTAGTAATGATGCAAGTACAATGTTTTTTTTGTTATCATAGGTAAATGCATGGTTTATATTACTTGTTTATCACTGTGCCCATCACTGTTTTCAAGATATGTATTTCTCCCATATATATGCCTGGCAACGGGAGCAGTAAGGGGAGTCAGTGACTGCATTTGTTAGTTAATGCGTCTGCTGCTGTTGTAACTCATCGCTCCTCTCTGCCATATTTCACTGGATTCACTATTATTATTAGTGTTTACTGATATGATATAATTCAATAGTGATTAATCATGGCATTGTTGCCAGGTTAGACTCGTCACTGTAACCATCAGGCTATTGGGCCAAGCTGTGAAGTGTTATGGTTGTTTTTCAACTCGTATTTTCAGATAGATTTACATACCTTTATTTATTTATTTTACTCAGTTACATGCACACACCATCCTACATACATTCTGTGAAAAAAAGTAAATGAAATAATTGTTTTAAGGGCAAACACGTAAAGGGAATATACATTTCTTTGCACACGAGTTAGCTGGCTCAGTGAGAGAACGGGAGGAGAGCATAGAGTGTAGGGGGTGAGTAACGTTGCTTGGGAATCGGCATCCCCTCTGGTGTCTGTTGCTATGATGAAGCAGGGAGTGTATGCAAATGGCGACTGTTAAACTTTCATTTGGCTTTTGCGTACATGTATTTACAGATTTGGCAGCACATTATTTTTTTTTAACTTATTGGTATTATTTTTATTTATTCCTCACATTTCCTGCAACTGTATATATTATTTGAAGAAATCTATGGTTACGGGAGGAAACTACACACACAATTTTTTTTTTTTAACATTTCCTGCTAAAATGGGGAGTGTGTCTTATATGCCGTAAAATGCAGTACAATGTACTGTATTTTTGGCGCTTTTTTATATTGTGATTTATCGTTTTTATACATTTAGTAGGTACATTCACCGGAAGATACGGACAATCAGCTTTTTCGGACATGTTGGTTCCACCTTTTAGTTCGGATCTTCTAGGGTTTACTGTAGTAGATTGTAAGACAAAATATTGTAGTACAGTAATGTGTTAGCTGTTTTGGCACAAAAGGATGCCTGTAGAAGACCATTTGACCAGAGAGGCTGTTAATCCTCACCTAAATCTGTGTGAAGTTATTTACTGGCCTCTTGTGTTAAAAATTCACCTTTGGTAAGATACCCTTCCACAGAGTGTTTATTCATTAGGAATTGATAGTCCAGTTCAGCTGAGTTCTGGGCCAGTCCAAATTATATCTGGGACAAAATCTTAATGACTCAATAAGAGAATAATTATATTAACCTTTCCTTGGTAAATCTTTTAAACATTTTTATTAATTTCATCATTTAAAGTTATTGTAGTTTTCCAAATTATTTGATAACTCAGATTAAGTAATTCACAAACCACTTGATACTCAGTACTCTGCCCCAGTGGAGCCTCGACCTAAATATTAAATGAAAACTCTAGTACTGTACGGTGACAGTAAGAATAAATGGTGATTTTTTTAGACTGTGGTAATTTTTGGGGGTATTACTAAGTGAATGGGAGATAGAAAAGCTCTTTAGTTTAATGCTGTGATGATGTGAAGCAAAAATTAATTTATTATGTGAATTATAAAATTTAATATAATTAGAGTTGATTTATGGACATCAAATGAAAAGTAGAGGAAATTACTGTACAGTGTCCACAGATAAGATTGCCCCCCCTCCCCCAAGAATTTGTGGGTATTGTGTAACATAAACATAGACATACATATATGAAAATAAAACAAAGATTGTACATGAACTTTTATTAGTAATTTGTCATATTTCCCTTTGTATTGATGACCATTTTAATCCTTCGTGGCATGATGTCAGCTAATTTTTTTAAGTATTGTGGATCAAGGTCTTGAGTCCAGATGCACTTGATCTCGTCCTGCAGACGCTTGGCGGATGAGGTATTGCAGTTTGCCAGCTTCCCCTTGAGATAATTCCAGGCATTTTCAATGGGATTCAGGTCAGCGACTAGGGAGCTGCAACTCTTTTTGTAGGTGATGTTGAATTGTGCGTTGTGAGACCTCAGCAAGCAGGCATGGGTGGTTTTTTTTTAGCTGAGCTGCTGTAATCCTGGGGTCCTTAAGTACTTCTCGCCGCAGTAAGTTATCTGCGCCCTTAGTAGTCTTCCGTGGACGACCATGATACGTTTTGTAAGGTGGGATAAGGTTGGGAGGCAGCTGCCACCAAGCATTTAATTGTGGATTTTCCTTGGCCAGTATGTCTACAAATTTCACTCAATGGTACATTATCCAGCCTCCATACCAAAATACGGACCTTTTCTTCATCTGTAAGGTTCTTAGGACCTATTCTTATGCAATAGATAAGAAATAGCACCCTCTAAATGACCCAAAGCAAAATTCCAAGGCACAATGCCCCAGCATCAAACATATAAGTCCGCCTCTGATGACTTCATAAAGTGCAATAATGCTCAGCTTCTCGCCATGTGGTAGCTACTGTCCTAGAGAGTTGCCAGATGTCACCAAGTTGTGATTGGGCAAGCGGTAGGCTTGGAAACGGAAATAAATTGAACCCAGTATTTCATTGAAAAATCGCGTGAGGGGCCCAGTTCTTTTTTGCTGACACTGTATATGGCAAGTGCATTTTTGAAGAGATTATCCATGGAATTCCATGCCATGAAAGTAGGCTCCAACATAATTAAGTTTGAGTAGAAATATAGCAAAATTTATGGAATTAGAAATCATGAAAATGATTATTTGGAACTGGTACTCTCTTACAGCTTTCAGTTAAGCAATAATGGAACAAAGAAAAAACATTGTAGGTGTTGGTAGATCATTGAAGGTGGTAATTGAGCCTATCTGTATGTGTTTTACTGCAGACGGTAATGGTGGTGGATATTAAGACTTTTCAAATAAATGCGGACTGAGGACATTGGAGGGAGTTTATGCATTACTGTACAAGAAAATTGTTAACAAGAGTAACTAGGAATTGGTCAAAAGCTGCATATATGGGGCTCAGTCAAAGTGGACCAGCCCAAACTTTTCTCAGTATCAGGATTGATATTCATATACTACAGTACTGTAAATGGCTGATGTGGCTGAATATGCAAAACAAGACTAGGTAAATGTGCTCCTTTATTCTTGCATTTTTAGGCAGTCTAGTACTTAACCACTTGTGTATGGGACCCCCTTTGTGCTGAATAAAATCGTCTGGTGTTAACCAAATAAAATGTTAAGAGTGGCATCCCCATATTGAAGAAGTTAATGTCCAAACCTGTTGCCCACAGTCTTTATATTTTGTGTGCTTAGTGTCGCTGAACTAACACATGTATTTGTAACTAAGACATAACCTGGATGTTTGAAAATCTATAACAGTAATTTGTAGTGTGTATTGCTCCATACTGTATTTAGAAAGGTTGCTTCTGAGATTAATGAAAATGTGTGAACAAGGTAAATAGGACAAAAGGTAGGTGTAAGGTTGAAAAGGTTATGTATGTGAAAAATATTTTAATGTAGCTTAAAATCTGTGGACAAACATTGACTGTGATGTTCTAGAAATATTCTGTAGCCATCTACTTCTTTAAAAACTTAACGTACCAGTAATCTCTTCTACATAAATTTCAATTATGTGCAGGTGTTACAGTTAGAATCCTGGAATAAGGAAGCCAAGAAAGAATTAGAGAAGTTAGAAGGCAAACAAAGCATCAAAGATGAAAAAACAGGAGCACCAATTAAATTAGTCACCAAAGCAGTAAGCAACCAGGAAAATGCAAACTCTATAAGCACTGTTGAAACCAAAATTTTGCCTTGTGAAAAATCTTCTCAGTTAGGGGAACCCAAAAAGCAAGAAAAGGATAGTGCTAGTCATCAAAAACAAAATGGCAATAATGTATGTGATAATCCATTAAGTAAAGCTAAAAAGGAACAGTGTGGTAAGAAGTTGAAAATTGTTGAAGTCAACAGTCAGCAAGACCTCTCTGCTAACCCAGTGGATCCCAACTGCATTCTTCCTGTAGAAAAACCTCCACACCTCAGATCAACGGTAAGTTATTAATTTGATACTATTCAGTGGCCAACAACTCATTTGTACATAATATTATTTTACTAATATGTTAGTTCATGACCTGATTCTTTGAGTTATTAGACCATCACAATGGTCTCCAAGCACAATATTAAAAAAACTTGTTGCTAAATGTTGCACTGGGAGGGATGAACCAGACCACTCGAAGTGAAACTTTGATGCCTTCTGCTGCTTTCTGAATAATCATCCCCCCTTTTACTTGTAGTCATCCTTCACCCTGACCTTCTGTCTCCTTGGTTTTTCTCCTCTTCCTCCCAACATTCACCTATAAATTATATACTAGCAATGCTCTTATTACCAGTTTTCATTTATCATTCTCTCTTTATGTTCATACCACCAGAATATACCTGGTCCACTTTCTACTCAATAATTCTCAGAACCAATAAGAAAATAAATTGTGCATGTAAAAATAGGAAAATAAGGGTGGTTTGGTTAACCCCACTATATATGAAGTAAATGGGGTGAATGTGGATTACTTTATATTATCCTTGACTTTAAGAAATGGGATATACTTGTACTGTAATTAATTTTCAGGGCTACAGCTTTATTTTAGAGAACATGAATTTTCACCCCTCCAAGTTCTCATCTTAAATTAATAAGTTGATTTTTTCTTATATAGATGATACTGTACTTTAATTTCAGTGAAAAGACTTTAGATTTATTTTCTTTGTAAGGTTAAATTGTGGATGAGGTTGAAGAAATATGTATTAGTAAATATGGAATTGGACTTAAAGTGATGCTTGAATTTGAGAATGAATGAAAATTAAGAAAATGAATACTGATTTGTTTGAGGAAGACACATGAATGGTTTGTTTTACTTAAGGTACATAATATGGTATTAAGTTTTTTTTCAATGGGGTAAGAGATAATTTCTACTGTATATCTTTATTTTTTTTATAGAAACCTCTTAAAAGAATACCTGTGGTTGATGTGCTGACACAGGAAGATATCCAGAAACTGCCCGTGTCATCTGTGTCAAACCAAAAAACTTCTCCCAAGAAACACACTCATATAAAAAATACAACTCCAAAATTGACAACTGGTGCCACAACAACACCCACCAAGGTTTGAGTTTGACTTCATTGATAAAGATGGGAGGGAGCTATTTAGAAAATAATGTTTACATTTCTGCTGTCCATAAGTTGTAAAGAAAGATTTTTAAATACAATACTGTAGTTAAAGATAGGTGTCAAGCCATATTCTGTTGTGTGTTATTTTCTCAAAAAGATTCTGTCATAATTTTAGTGTTTGTTTTTAAAAAATCACACAAATACACAAATCTGTTTGTCATTTACTTCATGTAGCATGAATTTGGTGATTTGTAACTCAAGGAATAGTGAAAAATTACTTAAATTTATATTGCGGTCCATAATGAATGTACTGTATAGAAGTATTTTTTGTGTCAACAGATTGAAGAAAACCAGAAGATGAGTACAGCCTTACCATCCCTGCCCAAGACATCACATCAGTTTACACAGGATTGGAACTCCCTCTCAAGACAGACCCTTCAAGCTGTTAAATATCTGAAGGTTTGTACTGTATAACATAATTCTCTATTTTTTAATGAAGTTACAAGAGTAATTACCAAGAATTAAGGTTATATTGGGTCACTAAATCCTTTAATATTACCTGTTATTCATTATAATTAACCCACATACCTCGGACGACGTAAGATCTACTGGACCCCCTGCACAGGTAAAGTTCGGCAAAAAAAATTTTTTTTTTTTAATCCACAGTCAAAAATTGGTATTTCAGGCATAAAATTAGTGCATTCACTCCAATTGTAATATTGTGGCTGGCATGCATGTAGTCTCCTGTGTCCACAGCACCCACGACCTCTGTATCACTGTCCTCACCATTGGTCGCCTCAACAAACTCTACATCATCTGGTGTCTGTTTGCTCCTTATCACTGTCTTCGTCACCCGATACTATATATATATATATATATATATATATATATATATATATATATATATATATATATATATATATATATATATATATATATATATATATATATATATATATATATATATATATATATATATATATATATATATATATATATATATATATATATATATATATATATATATATATATATATATATATATATATATATATATATATATGCCAATCAAATTTGCTAACTCTTGATGAAGAGCACTACTGTAGAGGGTGTGGAGAAGGACATACCTGGTGGGTATCTGGACTACGTACTAGACTTGAGACAAAGATTATGTGCGAGTTGAGTTGCCAAGTAAATAAATATCCTATACTGTACTAAGTGCTTCATCCCACCTGGACATTCAAACTATGCCCCAAAAATTGAGAACATGGAGGAAGGTCACCCAGGGTCGCTGTGGTAGACGCGGAGGAACGTCACCCGGGCTTTAAGGGTTAATTGATTTACTATTAAAGAGTGAAATAAAAATGTGCCAATTTTGGGGGCAATGTGGTGTTCTTATGGCTATAGAACAGAAGTACTGTATCGTAGATATTCAACAAAGCCTTAAATAAACTTTAATTGGTCAGTGCTTGTACACCCTAAAGATATTGGGAAAGATGTGACTGTAGGTTTTGTTATTTGATATTCTCTCTACTATATATACTTTATCTAAAACTCACTCAGAAAATATCTTGGACTCCTTGGATGCTTATTCTCACCAAAATCCTTTACCTGTAAAATTAAATACATATCGATCATGAAACTTCCTTGCTCAGTGCCAACCATACTTATTTATTTAAGAAATTTTAAGCCAAAGACATTTCACAGACGATAGATAAAATTGACAAAAAAATAGCTCTTCAAAGGTGTTCTTTAATATTCCTTAGTTAATTCATGACTGAACCATTATTGGCAGCATGTTGTAATGTAGATTGTTAGTTGACCCATTAATTAAGCTCCACCTCCTTCAGCATCCTCAGTAATTCATGCAATTTATAGAAGTTGAGCGGTAGTTTGTTTGGAAAATAAATCATGTAACATTGAATTCTTCACTGGCACACTTGCTATTAATGTTATTATAATATCAGTCACTCAGTGTGCAAGTCTCTGAGATTTGGCTATCTAAAGCCCACCACTCCAAGTGTTTTTTTGGCTATCATCACCAGTGCTTCCAGGTTTGATAATTCTTTAGGGACTCAACTTTTAATTTCCAACGTCCTTCCTAATCTTTCCTGGGCCCTTCTACGTCCTTTTTACCCATTTCTATCTCCACCATCATCCCACATATCTAATTATAACCTTTAATTGATACTCACATTGCCCTACACTGCCAAATGTCATGAAAACATTTACCTGTTAACAGGATTCTGATCATTCTCAGCCATATGCTATTTGTATTTTTTTTAATTTGACAGATGATTCAGCCAGCCTTCTTCAGTACTGTGGATATAGAAGCTGACACGGTAATCAGTGTGATGTCAGTGCTGAATTCTGAGGAAGTTTCACCCACTCTAGCAGCTAATTACTTAATTGCACTTTCTAAATCAAATGGATTTTCAGTCAATATCATGTTCTTTGATGACACTCAAAGGAAAGGTAGGTCTCACTTATGATTTTTTTTTACAGTACAGTATAAGCATATATCTAATTAATTGTTTAATAATTTATTTGCAGTACAGTACATTTAATTATTATTAATGCAATACAAGTACTGTACTGTATTTCCTTGGCATTTACCCTGATAACTTTATATAAGCTTAACTCATGCCATTCACTTAATCCTTAGTTTCATGTGACTGACCCTGAAAGTTAATTAATGCATATAAGGAAAGAAAGTTATTGCAAGGAAAAATATGTACAGTAGTTGTTAAGTAGGACAAAATGCAAAAGTAGTGGTAAATTAGGAAAAGATGAAAGGAGAGAGTAAGGGAAAACTAGTTGCAGTTAAGCATGAAAGAATGTAAGAATATGGGAAAATTTATATAGAAGTTAAGTGTGAAAGAATTTATGGTTAAGGGTGATAGGAGTTTACTGATGGAGTATCAGTACAGAGGCAAGAGCACGGGACAGACGTGTGCTCTGTATGGACAGACTGGTAAGACTGCCGGGTGAGCTGCCGGATCTACCCACGTTGATATGGTTTACTACCCTAATGATAGTTTGGGTGGTGCGGTAGTTTGCCAGGTCTTGGACAATATAACAATACAAAGTGATGGTAACAGCACATACATAGAATATACATAAATACATATGGACCTACAAAACTGATACAACATACATAGGCTTTATACATATATACCTAGCTAACTGAACACTCTCCAAAGGGAAATCTAATAAGTGATATAGAAGTATGAACGGTGAAGAATGAAGCTACAGAATATGAAATAAAGAGAATTGGGGAATTGTATTCTGTCAATTTGAACATTTATCTGAAGGGGATATTGGAGTAGCTGCTGTTCCCTGCAAAAGTTAAAGGTCAGTAATTAATGTCATTCTTGTTATAATATCATATAGAGATTCTTAAAGTCTGTTCACTTGAACCTTGCTCCTGAGGCCTAGGGTCAGTTTGTAACAAGGCAGCTGATTGGCTGGCAAATGGACACCTGAAGAATCACTGTAGTTATTCAGTTCTATATTTCATCCACCTTATTTATATTCTGATATTTTAACCCCTTGGTGGCCACAGATGAGTATACGAGTTATGTGTATTAGTGGCATTGTTAGTCACAGACGTGTATACACGTCCTGCAGTTTTGGGCTTCAATATTAAGCAAAATGAATGGGGAATGTTTTATTGTGTTTAGATGTGCTTCTCACATCTCATCTTAGCCCACCCGCTTACACCACCTATTGGGTCACGTGCCCTGACCTTGACCTGGCCTCAGTCACACGTGTCACCATAGTGAGTTCATGCCGCTTTGTCATCCAGGATCAGTTTGAAGATGTTATTTTTGATGAGAGTGGTAGTGATATCAGCAATGAAGCCACTTGTGATGAAAGTGGTTTGGCACACAATGACACAGACCCAGATTAGTACATTCAGGGAAGTACTAGTAGTGAAAATGAAGAAAATGTAGAAGGGGATGAGAAAAGCAAAGAACCAAGTTTGACTCAGTGTGAAGGTAATGTTAGTGGTGAACAAGTTGAGGGTGAAAGACCTTGGCTATATTCCACCATCATAAAGATAAGGAGTAGTGAGAGTGGGCCGGCTAGGGAAAGGAGGGACACCGTTGTCTCGTCCTTCACTCCCACGTGTTCATGAGTGTCAACCAGCCCAAGGCTCCTCACCTGCTTCTGACCCCACACCACCACCACCCCTCAACGCAGGCCTTTATCTCAACGTTTTCTCGTTACTTTGCTCACCTGCACCTGGTTCATCACGTGACCCTACACCCACCCCTTGTGACTCACCACCACCTCAGCCTGCTTCTCCTGACCTTTTTGAAGGGGAATGACCCCCTAATGCAGACAACGATGATGATGATGACCTCCAGCTTACACGTCGCTGCCCAACCCTGGAGCCCTGTCACACGTTCTCACCAGCCAGGCGATCGCCACCCATGCTGTTGCAGCTCTCATTGTCCGTGTGCACCTTGCAAACCAAAAGAATGGACTGAAAAAAAAAGCACCAGTGGATGTTAACGAAATCAAGTGGAAGTGGGTACCTGGGGATTATTATGTGCCTAAGCTTCATGACTTTAATGATGCACGGTTGGGGATACAGACAGACAAGGTAAATCGTGAAAGCAAGGAGGTAGACTTTTTTATTCTTTACTTCGGTTTGGACCCGATTCATTTTGGTGTTGATCAGACAAATCTCTTCAATGCTTTCACTTATGTTGGGAGGGTGCTAGCCCCCACTTCACATCACCATCGGTGGACGGACGTGACTTGCTGAGATGTACGTGTGGTTTGCTATGGTTTTAATATGAGTACTGTATAGTGAGAAAGCATAAGTACAGAGAGTATTGGACCAATGACCAAGTGAATATTTGTGAAAATACTCTCAGTAAATAGTTTCACAAATATTCTATGTTTGCTCCACTTCCCTGATAATCTAGAGGGGCACAGGCTGGACAACAGTGACTCGAAGAAGACAATCCACATTGTGTTCAACAACCTAAGCGAGAAATTCAGGCTCCTCTTCTGTCCATACCAAAATATTTGTATTGATGAAAGTTTAGTGCTGTGGCAAGGCATTATCAGTTTCCTGCAGTGTATTCCTTCCAAGCAACACCATTTTGGCCTGAAGTTGTTTGCAATGTGTGATTTCAAGACCGACTACATCCAGGATATGATATTGTACATGAGTGGCACTACTGATAAGACTATTGATCCTATCACAGGCCAGTCTGGAGGGTTGTGAAGACATTTATGGAATCATACCTTGGCAAGGGACACGTCCTGTACTGTGACAGCTATTACATAAATCTTGTGTTCTTCCAGTACTGCACTTATGACAACAAGATGGGGACTTGTGGGATGTGCAGAGCCAAGCATATAGCTATGCCATACCTTCCCGACAAAAAAGAAACGAGTGATTGCCAAGTCATCTATAGGAAAGTACATAAATGCCTTTCGGTGTCATGGTGTGATAAGAAGGGTGCTCATCTGATGTCTACTGTCCACTCATCATGCATTATGCAGAGCCATAACTTAGACAAGGCAACAAAACAATAGAAGATGAAATCTGAATGTGTGCTTTCTTATAATATGGGCATGAGACTTGTAGATAAATCAGATGCATGATCTCTAGTGTAGAATGTGCCAGGAAAATAATGAAATGGTACAGGTATAAGAAAATGTTTAATCATCTCCTGGACATAAGAACAAAAGAAAATAAGGAGTCTGCAATAGGCCAGTTGGCCTGTACATGGCAGCTCCTGTCGAGAGTTACATCCACTCGATCGTCCATGAATCTATCTAGCCTCCTTTTAAAACGTTCCAGCGTCCCAGCACTTACCACAAAGTTCCTAAGCTTGTTCCACTCATCTACCACCCTATTTGTGAACCAGTTTCTTCCTATCTCCCTCATAAACCTAAACTTATTCAACTTAAATCCGTTGCTATGCGTCCTATCCTGCTCGGATATTATAAGAACTTTATCTATATCTCCTGTGTTGATTCCTTTCACCCACTTAAATACTTCTATCATATCTCCCCACACTCTTCGTCTTTCTTGGGAATGCAAGTTTAGTTTCTTTAATCTTTCTTGATATGGAAGGTTTCTATGTCCTGGAATCATTTTCGTCATTCTTCGCTGCACCGACTCCAGTGAATTGATATCCATTCTATAATAAGGGCACCAGAACTGAACAGCATAATCGAGGTGCGGCCTGACTAGGGCAAGATATAATTGCAATATGAACTCCGCACTCTTATTAGTTACACTTATAGATATAAAACCTAATACTCTGTTTGTCTTATTTCGAACATTAACTCACTGTTTTCTAGGCCGAAGGTCCAGGCTTACACGTACCCCTAAGTCTCTTTCACAAGTCAACTTGTGGTAAATGTACACATACTGCACCAATAAGTGATGGAAAATGATTATGCCATCTACATTATGAAGCAACTTCTTCTGGCTGTCCACCACCAGCCACATGAGATTGCAGTTCATCCGCTCCCAGCCTGAATACCCACCAGTTCGCTCACTTCCCACCATAACCCTCCTACTACAGCATCAAAGAGATGCTCAACGAGAAAATGCCATGAGTGTGCACACTCAACAAAGCAGCCTTAGGTGCACAAGGAAACATTCTACATGTGACATATGTGTGGCGTACCACTCTGTGTCTTACCATGTTTCAAGGGGTATCACGCTGAGGAGTATTTTTGAAACATGTAAAGAATATCTAGTTCAAATACTGTAGTGTGTACCTGTATATATTTATTTTTTATGGGATTAGCCCACCTGGGCACAGGTCATCGACCCACATTGGGGCTGGGGGGGGAGGAGGCATAAAAGCAAAAGAAGAAACATAGCACCACAAAAAATAAATCAATACAGAAATGGAAAATAAATAAAGCAGATCAAGAGTGAGACACAATATATATGTTGTGTTTTCAAAATAAGAGAAACAATTGAGACCCTGCAATTGTGTATAAATGAGGCAGAAAGTCAGCCAGATCACCAACCTGGGATTTGGTCACAATTTTTGTGATACCATATCACTTCCAATATGTTCTCAGGCAATAGTACCTCCCTGTTTGATAGCTGCCTACTACCTATTACCTGATAGCCTAAGTATAGAAATAAGTACCTCAGTACAGTATGCAAAAAAAAAAAAAGAGAACATTTTGTTGAGAATAATGAGAGTGCACCATTTGATAGCTTAGTGGGGTGGCTGAGTCAGCTGACAAATGGTGTTGCCATATCATCACCACGTTACATTCATGTTACATAATAAGTAAATTTTTATAACTTTATAATGTACACACAGATTAAATAATGAATAACAACATAAAACACAGAAAAAACTAAGGGTAAGAGGCTGAAAAGGAGATGGGAAGTGAATGTGAGGCAGGCGGGTGGGGATATCCATGCACACGGTACCAACGGTTCAACGACAGACAGTGACGTCACCCACTAGGGCATTTAAATGTAAGTACAGTAAACCCTCGATAACTCGACATTTATGGGGCTCCGGCCTTGCCGAGTTATCCCAAATTCCGACTTATCGAGGCACCCCCCTCCTACAAAAATGCAACAATAAAAAATTATCGACCCTTATACCGGTATGTGTGTACATGTAATTACTAAATGTAAAAAGGTAACACTTACCATCTCTGCCGGCAAAAAATGAAGCATTATAGTAGGAGACACAGATGCATGGTAGGTGACAGAGAGGTATGGTAGGTGACACCGAGACATGGTAGGTGATGCATGTGTCCAGATATGCCGAGATTTTCCCAGATAATTTTATATATCTCAGCATTTCCCGAGTTATACTGTACTAATATATTTCGAGATCATATTCATGCCGGTTATATGAAATTCCGAGTTATCAAATGTCAAGTTATTTAGGGTTTACTGTAAAAAAATTTTTTAGTGTTCTGGGGAGTACTTGGGGTGGGGCATTTAGGGCACAAAAAATTGTGGACAATTGGGCAGAGGCGGATTCAGGACTATCAAAACGGAGAGGTACAAGAAGTGGATGGAGGAACATGGTGAGCACAACAAGCCCACCCAGTTGGGGGGTTTAGAAATCTGACCAATATCATGGGCATTTTGAGGCAATTTTGAAGCCATGTACACTTGATGTTATGAGATATTCTGAGGTCAATAGTAATTACTTTTTACTATGCAAAAAATGCCTGAGTACAATACTGCATTAAAGAAAAAAATATTGGAATTTTCTTTTGAAAATGGGGGGGGGGGGGGTCCAGACCCCCCCTCTGGATCCACCCCTGTTGGGGGTTATAGTACTATACAGTATATAACTGGACCATGGGGGTCATGATATTACAGTACTGTATATACTGTATAGCTGGACCACCGAGGGGATAATAACTATTCTTTGTTGATTTCTGATAATTTCAGCACTTAGGGAAGCAAAAATTATTGTGTGAAATACTCCTGTAACATAAATATCTTGAGAACAAGAAAACTATTGCAAAATTTCTGCGACATCCTCCACCAAGCTGTGTGACGTCATTCTTCCAGAGATATATATATTACCAGAACGTTTCACATGCTAATTTTTTGCTTCCCCAAGGGCAGAAATTATCAGAGATAAACAGAATATTTATTATCTCTTAAAATATCAGAATGTAAGCAAATAAATCACTGTAGGTGCATGTGATGAGAAAGTAAATATGATAAATTAAATATTGAAGAACTGTAGCAACTCTTCGGGTGTCTGTCCACCAGCCAATCAGCTGCCTTGTTACAAAGTGACCCTAAGCCTCAGTTGCAAGGTTTGAGTGAACAGACCATAAGTTTTGTTAAAAGTTTTACCAGTCAGCCATTTTAGATTGGTGAGCACAAAGCTGGTGTATGGTTACAGCTATTAGCCAACTCAATACTGTGCAGGTATTGTTCAGGTGCATCATACAGCTGCTTCTAGTTGTCTCTTTTTGAGATAATGTCATACTTTGACACTAAAACATCTTACACAGCTTTTAGGTGATCAAATACTGTATATATTTCTCCAAATAAAAACTCCAATAATTTTCTTCCAGTCTTAAATGAAGTGATATTGAAGTGTGAAAAGGAAGAATCGTGCAGCTCTGAAGTGAAGAATCTGAAGAATTTACTCAATAGAGGATCATAGATCTTTACTTTGAATCTTGTGACTTGGTTAGATACTATATTTACAACATATCCAAATACAGTACAGTACTGTACTGTACCTGCATTATGGTATTCTGTACACACTATTAACTTTAAAAAGTTATCTCTGTATTTCTTGAACGTAAATTTTCTGCCTACTAGACTTTACTTTCTTTTTTTTCAAAATCAGAATTTGTTGATTACTGAATTTGTGTATACAATAAAAGTGATAAAACACTAAATTCATTCATTGACTGTTTAATGGACAGGATTTTTGTTTTTCTGCACAATAATTATAAAAAAATCTTACAGTATAAGTTCTCAAGCATCATAATATGTAACTATTTGCTGGAGAAAGCATGTAACACAAGGACAGTACTGTAGCTTCACACAGTTAAGCTATAATGTTATTTATTGCCTTAATTTATTCAAGGGTATTGTAATTTACAGTAAACCCTCGATAATTGCACATATGGGGCTCTGGCCTTGCCGAGTTATCCCAAATTCCGACTTATCGAGGCATTTCCCCTCCTACAAAAATACAACAATAAAAAATTATCAACCCATTCATGTGTACATGTAATTACTAAATGTAAAAAAGTAACACTTACAGCACTGCAGGCAAAGAATGAAGCATCGTAGTAGGTGATACAGAGGCATGGTAGGTGGCCAGATATGCTGAGATTTTCCCAGATAAGTTTATATATTGCCATTTCCCGAGTTATACTATAATACATTCTGAGACCATATGCATGCCGAGTTATATGAAATTCCGAGTTATCAAATGCCGAGTTATCGAGGGTTTCTTGTATGGCCAAAGTTACCAGGATTGACATTTTGCCACATGTGCTCAAGTGCTAAATCAGATTTATTTAATTTTTGCAATCTATTAAACATATTTTGGATTATTTCTTTATTTTCAAATATCAAAGGCCAGCATCAGTGTTATACAGGAAATCCTCGCTTAACGTCATGGTTATGCTCTTGTAAAACATCGTTGATGGAATAAATTTTCCCCATAAGAAATATACAAAATACGCTAGCTACGTTCCCCCAGCCTCCCTTTGCTACATAGAAGTACCACTTCCAGCACTAGCCTTAATCTTGTCTGTGCTGGTCCAGATAGTACGCACTGTTGTGGGGGTTAGGCCTAACGCTACACCAATGTCCACAGCACATTCACCTTTCTCAAAACGGTTTAAAACCTCCATTTTCATAGCAAGGCTGATGGTCTTGCATTACTTCTTCACAACACTAACATCACTAACACTCGATGGGCACTTGGGAGCCATTTCAAAAGGTTACAGTACAGTACAGCTATGCCTCGACTTACGACATACTCGACCTATGACCACTCGGACATACAACCGCCCCAGTCGTACAAAAAATTAAATAAAATTACGTATTTTCGAGTCCCACCGTTAGTGATTGCTCTGTGTACTGACCAAATTTTCCTTCGTAATTCCCTTTAAAATGGCTGGCAAGCGTAAAAGTGAGAGTTCTCGTGGTGCCGAGAAGATAAAGAGACACCCAGAAATGTATGTAAATCTATCAAAAGATAGTTGAAAAATTTTTACATTATTAAAATGTACTATGTACTAAAAATTTTATCTCATGCAAAATATATGCCGTTTATATTCAAATTAATCACTATCTTATAAGAATTTCCAGCAATGTAAACTATATTTTCCCCGGTCACTTCTGTGACATTTTATGAGTAAAAAACAAACTCAATCGAAAGGACATAAATAAACAAATAAATACTTCATTAGACCTTCGGCGCCAACTGTCAAACATGTCACTGTCACTTGCCCTTCCTTCCTTCCTCCCTCCTGGGTTTGGTGGTTTTAGGCTTACAGTTTTTATCTTTTATAATATCACAGACTAAAGTTAGGAGAATATAATTTGCATTGCTGGAATCCTTGCAAGACAGTGAATAATTTGAATATAAACGGCATATATTTTGCAAAAGAGATAAAAACTTTAGTACATTAGTACAGTGGTCCCTCGGTTAACAAACACAATTCGTTCCAGAAGGTTGTTCGTTAACCGAAAATTTTGTAAACTGAAACCATTGTTTCAATGGGTTTTTGGTTAATTGGTTCCAGCTCACCAAAAATTACCTAAAGTAAAAAAAAATAAAAAAATTGCAGTAAAGTACAGTGGGGTATGCTATAACGAACGGATCCTACTACGAATATTCCTATAACAAACGGTTTTACCTATAAAATTGAGAATGCTATAACGAACGAAACTCCTACAACGAACATTATTTAATTTTTTTTTTTTTTTACTAATTTATTGTTTTTTTATTACAAGTATTAATGATATTTTCAGGGGTTTAGATGCATATTTATGCACTTTTTACAATTTTTACAATTTTATATTATATTTTTCAGTGTTAAGTGGTTGTATTTGGGGGCCTGGAACGGATTAATCCTATAACGAACGAATGCTGTAACGAACAAGGTTCTAGAACCAATTAGATTCGTTATAGCATACCCCACTGTACACTTACTTTGAGGCGTGTATGTAGAAGGCTCCTGGATGATGATGCTGATGTGAATTTGAAGTGGGAAGTGGAGGAGGAGAAGGAAGTGGGGGTGGAGGAGAAGCATATTACTGCTTCTTGGAAGGTGTGTCACCTTCCATAAAAATGTCAGGCACCTCTGGACTGACAGATTCTCCAGCAGGAACATCCTCTCTCCTTCGTGAAGTGGAAGGCTGAGGGGTAGCATCTTTTTCCCAATGCCTTTTAGTAAAGAAACTCTATTTTGGGTTGTGGGGCATTTCTCCTCCTCATCATTAACTGATGTTTGAAGAAGGAGACCACTCTGTCCTCAACATTGCACAAAATAGGTTCTGTTGTTTCTACATCTGGGTGCCTTGAAGCCAGTTTCCTGAACATCTCCCAGTGGTGAACAACATCTTTCAAATCTGAATTAGACATAGTATGGTCATCACTTTCCCTTTCCTCCTCACCACTGTCAGCCTCCAACATCTCATCCAGTTGCTGCAAATCATCAGGAATAAGTTCCTGCTCATGAGACATCACAAGCTCTTCCACATCAACCTCCTCCACTTCGAGGCCCAATGACTGACCAATGGATACAATCTCCTTGTCCAACTCTGCTTCTTCTTCAAATCCCTCAAAATCATGGACTACTGATGGCCACATTGCTTTCCATGCAGAATTGAGGGATCTAATGGAGACTTCTTGCCATGATGACACAATCAATTTTACAGCCTCCAGGATGTTAAATTATGTCTTCCAGAACTGTGCCAGTGTTAGTTCAGGATCAGTGGAAGTTGCCTGAAAACACCTCCTGAACATTTTCTTCATGTACAACTTCTTGAAGTTGCTGATCACATTCTGGTCCATTGGCTGCATGATTGATGTAGTGTTGGGAGGCAAAAACAACACTTTGACAAAGTCAAATTGAGACTCCAAAGTGCTGGCAAGTTCAGGGTCGTGACCAGGGGCATTATCCATTAGGAGAAGAGCTTTTAAAGGGAGTTTATTGGTGGTTAGGTAGCTCTTGACAGACGGGCAAAACACCTCAACAACCCATTCATTAAAGAGCTGTCTTGTAACCCATGCCTTACGGTTGGACTTCCAATAAACTCCAAGCTTTCCTCTTACCACTTTTTGCTACATAAGAAAATAAGGAGTCTACAATAGGCCGGTTGGCCTGTGCATGGCAGCTCCTGTCGAAAGTTACTACCACTCTCTATCATCCATGAATCTATCCAGCCTCCTTTTGAAACTTTCCAGCGTTCCAGCACTTACTACAAAGTTGCTAAGCTTGTTCCACTCGTCTACCACCCTATTTGTGAACCAGTTCCTTCCTATCTCCCTCGTAAACCTAAACTTATCCAACTTAAATCCGTTGCTCCGAGTCCTATCCTGCTTGGATATTATAAAAACTTTATCTATATCCTCTTTATTGATTCCTTTCACCCACTTAAATACTTCTATCATATCTCCCTGCACTCTTCGTCTTTCTAGGGAATGCAAGTTTAGTTTCTTTAACCTATCCTGAAATGGAAGGTTTCTAAGTCCCGGAATCATTTTCGTCATTCTTCGCTGCACCGACTCTAGTGAATTGATATCCATTCTATAATAAGGGCACCAGAACTGAATCGCATAATCGAGTTGCGGCCTGACTAGCACAAGATATCGTTGCAATAAGACCTCTGCACTCTTATTACTTACACTTATAGATATAAAACCTAATATATATATATATATATATATATATATATATATATATATATATATATATATATATATATATATATATATATATATATATATATATATATATATATATATATATATATATATATATATATACCATAGGTATACATATATACCCAGCGTTACGGAACCCCAGGTTGCGGAATTTCGCTCTTGCAGAATTTGTAAATTACGACCAATAATTTCGCGATACGGTCCGTAAATCCGCCCTTACGGAAAGTGGGTAAATTTTTAATTAAAAAAAAAATCACTATATAAAAATATAAATTGTTGTTAAAATTATAATTTGTTTGGTGTGGATTTCTTGGTGTTTGCTACCTCCAAGCTTGGCGTTGCCACGTGGAGTCACTCTATTGTTTACATCGTGTGCGCGCATGTTTCTCGCCCCAGCAGTTGAATTTAAGTTTTACAAACATACAGTAAGTATACAGTACAGTGCATTACCCTTATTCAATATGACTGGAAAGAGGCCATCAAGTGGAAGTGACCGCAGTAGTGCAAAAAGAAGCCGCAAAGGCATTATATTGGATATTAAACTCGATGTTTTAAGAAGGTTGATGCAGCAGTCAACATCTTTTGTGGTGAGTACAGTACAATATTTTTATTTATTCCAACTGTATTTCTCTTCATATTACATGTACAGTATATCATAAATTATTTAATGTACTGTATTGTATGTGTTTATAAATGTTTATTTTCATTCATAAAAGTGCTTGAATTACTTTTTTGGGGGGCCAAAAAATATTCCTTAGGAACGCGTCTCCAGTTTTATCATGGAAGTCAATGGGAAAATAGGTTTCGCGATACAGTCAATTTTCCAGGGACGCAACCCTTCCGTAATACCGGGTATGTGTATGTATATATATATATATATATATATATATATATATATATATATATATATATATATATATATATATATATATATATATATATATATATATATAAAAGCAAGAAAAATAAAGTAGTAGCCTGCCTCATGAAATACTGGA